CAAAGGCCCGTTCGACTTGGCAAAAAACATATGGTGTTGATGCAAGTCCAAATGGGAGAGCTCTGAACTGAAACACTTGATCCTCATGCACAAAATGCAGAAAACAAAAGAATATTCTGCTTATAGGGATGTGAAGATAGGCATCTGCAACATTGAACTTGGTCATCCAAAGACCTGGTGAGAAGTGCCACTGAAGTTGAAGAAAGGATTTCATGGTGAAACGAGGAGTCTGAAGAAAGAGATTTAGTCGAGATAAATCGATGATAGGATGCCAATCTCCAGTTTTCTTGAGCACTAGAAAAAGACGAGAATAGAATTATGGATGAATGGAATCGACCTTCTCACTAGCTTGTTTGAGAAACAACTCTTGAAGGGCTCAGGCTTGAAGATATGTACATCTGAGGTTTGAAGGAGGAAAAAATGACTGGAAGGGAGGACAGAAGAGGGGGTGAAGTAAACTGAATCTCAAATCCCAACTCCAGCACTCTGATAACCCAATGAGTGATGGTGAAAGAATGCCAAATGTGGTGAAAGAGATGTAACTGTCCTCCCAAACGATTTTGTGAAAATAGGTAGTCACCAACACTGCTGCCACCGATGTGCTCTGTCTGAAACTACCCGAGAATAAGGATGGAAATGATTAAGAGAACCAACTGAATGAGGAGTGGAAGTAGCAGTTGAAATAGAATAGAGTCAAGCAGCCAAAGACGATAAATAAGACTGCAAACGTGCTGTATCAACTATGGCTTCTAAAGATTCTAGAATTTCAGCAAATAAATAAGGCTGAAGAAAAGGTGCTCCCCATAAATCTCGAAGAGCAGAAGAAGGTAAGTGAATACCCCCCAAAAAAGCATCACGACTCAAGTCCCAGTAACAGACACCAAGTCAAGTCCTGAAGAGGACAAAGATATCATAGTAGAGACCAGTAAAGAGCCCAGTTCTTCATCAAATTGTTGAGGCAGTCAGTGATATGCTTCAAACAAAAGTCTAGTGGGGTATATAAAGACTGGAGCAAGCAAACACAACATTATATGGCAAAGATGGAGATCGAGAAATAGCTATTAATGTCAGCAGAGGTATTTATGTTTTGGAATGACTATTTTCATGAAGATCAATTTAATCTTAATTTTGATTAACTGAATGTTGGATTAAATAAGAGCTGTAATAATTTGAGACATTAATTCCAATTAATTAGTTATTTTCATGACAACAATATATTTATTGTTTGAATAATTGAAAGCATTAATTTTAATTTATCGATTTAATCATAAATTTGATTAACGTCACTAATTAATGTAATCACTGCTAATAAGTAAATCAATTAAATTGCCAGCTCTTTTCATAACTAAGACATTTTCAACTCAATTTTGTTTTCACAAATGAATTTCACGTGAACATAAAATTTACTACAGATACCTCAGAAGAAAGAGATTTGTTATTTCTGGATGTTAGGCTCAGATGACACATGAATTAAATGTTAAGCCCATGTATGGTAGTTTCCTTTCAAATTTTGATCATGTGCATCTAGTGGCCTCTTCAAAAATGTTGCATTCCCACTGTACTGCTTCTGATAACATACGCAAACAACTAGGTATAGAAAAAATTTTTTTTAGATCAGCAGAATTGGAAAATACCTCATATAGTTAAATCATAATGTAAATTCAAGAGAAAATCCACAGTCGAAAATATCATTAACAGCAAAGGTACCAATTGATTAAAGAATACATTCTAGTCCTTATTAGTATGTAACAGAAGTATATTTAATTAGCTATATTCATTACCAGGTTTTTTTTTTTGGTTCTGCCCTATGAAAGTAGCTTACTCTGATCAGAAGTTAATATTAATCACCAAAAGAAAATCCTGATTTCACTATATCACTCATTTCATTAATGATAATCTCCATTGTAAAATTAAACACATCATAAAGTACAGTGATTTTAATGCAAGGCTATCAGAAAAGTCAGGTCTTACACTTATATCACTCCTTATCAAATCAGTGCTTAGTCCTGTATCCTGTCCATGTAACAATGGTGTCATCTACAGGACTGAAGGTAAATGTACATTGAAAAATGATGTATACACACTGACACTGTTTGTATAAAATTATCTCAGGGAAAGAGTTAAAGAACATGTAAAAAATACAACAAAGAGAAAGATGGATACCAGCCAGTTGGTTCTCATTATGCTTCTAATTTCTGTAATGAAACTGTCCTCAATATTCCTTTCAGAGAAATTGTTTCAAAAACAGTTACCTCTGTTAACAGAAAAGTAAGAGAAAGCACTTTTTCTCAGAAATGAAAAACCAACTTTAAATAATTGATTCAGAATTTCTTTGACTCATTAATGTTCTTCTAAAAACTATCATGAATTCTCAGCAAAAGATTATTTTTTTTTTGCCTAAAGTTTATTTCAGTAAATGAAATTCCTTGTGACAAAAGCACAAACATTGTTTCTAATAAATATTATATTTTCATATTTTTTAATTACATGTAGCAAGGATGTTGATGAATAAAGTAGAATTAATACAAATATAATAAAATATATAAAAATTTTATCTTAAACTCTCTGTACCATTACAGTGTTTCAAAGCTGTACTCCTCCTGATGAGCTTAAATATTATTTTTAACAAGTGTCAGTATTGTTGTATTTTATTATCATTAAGTAATTGTCTAGTATGATAGAATAAGAGCTTTCTTTGCAGTATTGAAACAAGTCTTCACTTCACTATCACTTGATGAGGGCCCAAGACAAAAATTAGTCATGTAACATTTGTGCATGTGAATTTTTTTTAATAATACAGTACTTTCTTTATATTTTTTTTCATGAAATGTCTGACAGTACCCTCAGAGAAACACTAGACTGTTTAACTAAAATCAAATTTGCTTAAACCCAAAGAGCTTCTTAAACTGAAAAATCACTGAAAGCATCAATTCATTAAAGAAATCAAGTATAGTTACATGGTGAAATTGTCTAGACGAATGTTGTTAATCTATAATAAAGAAAATTCATCATAATCTATTGGTATACCATCACCACTGTGGTATTACCAATTAACAGGTGCTCATGTCAACAAAACAAGATATCTAAGTAAACTAAAAACATTATGTTAAAACTGTCAAAAATTTGTTTAAAATGGCACCATTATCAGAGATGAAATTTGTTATTAATATACTAACCCCAGGCTAGTAGGCATGAGAAATGTACTAGCCTGAACTGAAATTCTACTACCCCAACTATTTTTGCAATAAGTAGGGCACTGTCTATCACATGATCAGACTACATAACAACAGACTGCTGTACTTGCCATGATAAAAATAATAAGATTTACTAGAGTAACCAAACCTACAAACAGCTTAGCTCTCCCTAAACAGTCTTGTAACCGCTAGGTAACCATAAAAATATTTGTGCTATAACATATAACATAATAATATGGGTATCTTCATGAAATAAACATTACAAGCCTTTTGTACATAAACAAATTTGTATTTCCTTTAAATAGTTTTACTGAAGATTTGTCTGTGAACTTATGGAGTAAGGGTGTAACTCAGACTCTGACTAGTCTGAATGCCAAGTGATTTTCACATTAAGGATAAAAATACTTTTTTCATCTTACACTTTACCAATTTATATAACCTCTAGAACTTCCTGAATGAATACAAAGTCTTTTTTAAGAAAAACTTTATATTTTATATATTATTTTCTACCCTAATGCTATACAGACACAATTCATTTGATTGAACTTGTAATCCCTCCCCCCAAAAAGAAGAATGTGTAATTTACATGTTAAATTTGGGACATTATATAGAGAAGATTGACAATATATTTAAATATTTCCTTTTGAAGTTAAAAATTAACCTTTAAGTTAAAATTTGATTTATTAACTACATTCTGATGCCATGTTTAATGATATACATTGATAATAAAGTAGTTAATTAAGTTTTAAATGTAATCAAAATTTAAAAAACCTTGTAATCACCTTGTAAATGTGAAACTATATATACTATAGCTGAATGTACTATGTGCATCCACCTTGTAAATGTGAAACTATATATACTATAGCTGAATGTACTATGCGCATCCACCTTGTAAATGTGAAACTATATATACTATAGCTGAATGTACTATGTGCATCCACCTTGTAAATGTGAAACTATATATACTATAGCTGAATGTACTATGTGCATCCACCTTGTAAATGTGAAACTATATATACTATAGCTGAATGTACTATGTGCATCTTCACAAAACTTTGCAAGCTTTTAGTAAACATTATAAATTTGTTGTAAACAAAAAAATAGGATTTTCTAAATGTATTTTTACTGAAGATCTGTCTGTGAACTTATGAAAACTTTACTGAATCAAACTGAGTGAAAGATGACTTTCATGCTCAAAATAAAACAACTACCTTTCATCTTACAGTTTAATGTTTAATTTGCACAACCTTTAAAACCTCCTAAGTAAATATGAAGTTGCTTATTTTGATAAAACTATATTTACCTCTTATTTTCTCTATCCTAAAGCTAACTGTATGTAATCATTAATGAACAGTGAAATGAAAAGTTGAAAAATATCAAATAAAATGAAGAACCCATTTTTTTTTCTATAATGATTGAAAATTGTAACAAACACTAGCAATTATTTATCGTAACAGCTTCACCTTCTAATATTTTCATATCTGCTTTCTTCCAATTTTATAGTATTATTGCTGTAATTTGGACCCAATACTGTATGTGGATAACAATAAATCACAACAGAAGCTCATTTACATTTTCTGATAGAGCTTATTTAGGAAATGAAAGATCAGATTACAGTTACGCACTTGCATCAAGCTCACCTTGCCCATCGACTGAGCTCATGAAATTTTCAACATATTATTATTTCTTTTAAGTTTTGTTACCTAACCTAACAAGTTTCTAGTTATTATATTTTACTTATTTTTTTATAAAAGATATATAACAATAAATAAAAAATATACATAAAGAACTACATTTAGTACTTACACAGAATCGAGGCAGTTTTTGTACTTGGGTAGGCATTCTTTGTAAGCCTCAATGTGTCTATCAGATTTGGGTGTTGAAAAAAAAAGACTTCATTCAGCTTTCAAATATACATTTTAGAACACAAAATAATACATCATTCACTAGAGAAAAAGGTCTTAAAACTACTAAAATTTATCTGCCTTTCTAACTAAACTATAAATAGGTTAAAAAATTTCTTAATTGCTCCAATCAGCATTTAGGATCACCCATAAAGAAACATCTGTTGACTATAACTTTACAAATGGAATACAGAAGGAGAAGTTGTAATATTGTAGAGAATCTTCTCTTTCTGCTAATTGTAAACATGTCAATTGACTATGTTGGGTGATTAATTACCTGATCTCAAAAGAAAGAGATGAAATGGGATTCTTAGTTGGGTTTGACATACTTATTGATATCTCAGCACATCAGGTTGGTAGAAGGTTCAAATTTTATGTTCTTGCTTCTTATAATCATGTCCAGTTTGTGTTTCTAATTGGTTAGAAACTGTAGAATCATATTATGGAAGGTATAAAATTCAGAGCAGAATTCGATGTGCAGATGCATCAAAACAAATGAAGGCTGGGAATTTTTTAATATATTTTTTTTTAAACCTAAGAAATTAAAACTTGGATAATATAAAATTTGAATTACAAACTGTAGTTTGATGCTAAGTTTATTGATATAAATTGATAATAAAGTAGTTTATTAAGTTGTGAATGTAACTCTTTAAAAGGTTGCATCATACTTATTTTAACTCAAGTTCATATACTACGAGTTACTTAACTTGTGTTACAACTCATTAATCAATCAAAATTAGTGTTACTGATCATTACTATTTTTGGTTGTTTTGCAACTGATTAATGAGCTAGACAATTAATCGATTAGCAAATTCCACTGATTATCAAGTTCTACCAATCTCACAAAACTTTCAGTGACAGTAGATATTGAACAATTTGAAAGAAATAATAACATATAGTATTTTTCTAAATTTTAATAATTATATATACAGAGTTGGATTTTACATACATGCATACATTTCAAATGAGCAGAACAGCACTAGCCTATGGCTAGTACTTATGGAATTCATCGTAGCACAAAATTTGGTAGTTCCAAGCATTGGGCTAGTGGATTTTTATACCTTTGATCAAACTTTCTTCAACTTTTATCCATTTTTCCTTTGTTTTTCAGCTGCTGACACAGATGATGTCATACTTATGTACTGAAATTAGGCATCAGTCTTGTAAAACCATGGCTTGTGTTAAATATAAACATTCAGACATGGATCAAAATGCCACTTTTATTTGGGGGGGAAGATATGAATAAACATAGGTAAAAAAAGAAGAAAGTTAATCAGTTTCTAGTAACAAAATTGCATGCATTACAAAATTTAACGCAGGTTAGAAATTATCATCTGTACAATCAGATAAATCTAGAACAAACTTGGTTTACTTTCATCCCAGCTCTAGATGAGTGAAATAATATTGCCACCAGATAATCTCTTTGTGACCTAAACAGAACTATTGTCAAACACCTAACAAATGTAAATTTTTAGCCTTTGTAAGAAATGCTTGGCAGAGTATAACTACAAATAATAAATGAAATGAATACTGCCCCTATTTTCCAAAATATCATGCTCAAATAACTGAATTCAAAACACACACACACATATATATATATCTAAGACATCAAATATGTCTATTTTATCTTAGTGAAATAAAAGTGCTCACTGAAACTATAGGACTAAACTTCAGATTCCAGTGTGCTAGGGCAGTATTTTGCATTGTTGTAAAATTTTCAAACTAAGCATATTACGACTATATAGTTTCTAATACTGTTCATGAAATATAATGGAATTTTGCATTACTTTTAGATATATTTCTTGATATGAATAGGCATGAAAAGATAAAACTATTCAGGTATGTTTAATATAGTATACTATATTAACATTCACAAGTGCTAGATACAAATTAAAAGAACAAATTTACGGTTTTCTTGCAATAAAACAAAATATAGTTTTCTTTAACATTAATTTATGTTAGATTATACATAGTATACAAATATATAACAAATGGAATACATAACTAATATAACCCAAATCCTGCTACATACAACCAGCTTGCATTAGTCTCTTCTCAGATACGAGATCAGTGGCACTGTGCCCATAGGCCATGGGCACCCCAAATGCTTTCCATACACTTTTTTAATAATCCCAAGTGCATGTATAAACATTTGATTTAAATATGCCCAAAATATTTATCTGTACTGGAAACCAGTAAGTTAATCAAAGTAACAGTAGAAATTTCATATGACAAGAAAAAGACACCTAGCTCAGTACTGTTTGTATGGTTATTTGTATTAACCCACCACTGATAACAAAAGCACTATATTACTGTACGAGATTATCAAAAACAGTTAACACAACCACAAATTCAAGTAATCTATATCACCTTGTAATCTATATGAATTTTAAATGTGTTGTTATAACAGTTCCTATTTTTCTTTTGGATTATTTAGAAAAGAATAATGAAAACAAAAATATTTTATTATTGTATTACTTCTTCGGTTAGCTTTACTAACACTCACTAACAGGCCTAAGTTCACAGTAAATGCTAACACACAACAATTTTACTAATTGATTTTCTTGTATGTATAGTACTTATCATATTTGTATTTCTTTGTTGAAACAAGCTCAACATTCACAAAACTGAATTAAATAACTAGCTAGCTGACAGTAACAGACATGCTGACAAACAAACTTGCTAAGTCAATCAATTCTCCCCTATAATGCTCGCAAATCAGTTATCTACTTATAACTTGCATTTTATATATAAACTCATTTCCTAAGCTTACAAGAAACTTTAGTCATTAAATTCATATCAATCACATAATGTAAACAATTTCTTTGCCCAAAAACAATAATACTAACATCTAAAACTTAGGAAAAACCTAGCCAACAATAATATGATTGATTCAGGGTTGCACTTCTTGTAATTCTGTCTTGATCAGAAAAATAAGATTTGACCAATAAAAGTGCAAGAATGCATTTTTTTTATACTCATTAGTTTTAACTTTTATGAAAAATCTTTACAATGAGGGATATATCTTTAAACCTCCTTACCTTGGGATCCTGCATTCTTTAAACAAATTTTCAAAATTGTTAAGAGTTCAAATTAGCTGCAGGTTATGAAATTGATTTTATCTGTATCCATATCAATATGAGCAAAATCAGTATCAAGCAACCTCTAATTATAATAACAAACTTAGGCTACGAAATGGATAAGAAGCAACACCTACTGGAAGTTACCTAATGTTACATCTCCTTTCAAGGGAGATGATAAAAACTGTCCCAGTAAATATTGTCCTATTAGTTTTGCATAAATAGTGGGAAAAGTTTTTGAAATTCTGATAAAAGATGCTTTGCAAAGTCATTTAACCATTTAAAATTTTACTGGACATCCCACATGTTTCACTAAGGGAAAATCTTGCCTTAGTAATCTTTTGACATTCTTTGAAGAGGTTACTACTTATATAGACAAGAAGACAGGTGTAAATTTGGTACACCTGGATTTTCAAAAAACATTTAACAAGGTGCGACATAAGAAGCTTGTTAACCCTCTTGCCATGGTCAGAGGTCAAAAGGCATGTCATCATGTTTGTAGACTTACATTCAAAATTTTATTGGTCTACCATTTTATGAATTTATGTCAGTAAGTTTGGTATCACATTATATTTTAGTATTATCAATTAGTTAATTTCTTATTTGAAAAGTAAATATTAAAACAAAATTCCTAAATATCAATTTTTGTGTGTCATGTGGTATGTTGAATGCAGCTTTGGTTCAAATTAGATGTTTGTGATGCCCAAATACAAAATCTATAGTTTCTTATTATTTAGAAACTCAAATTACCAATATTGAAAAGCTAGAATATAAAATAAAAACCTCCTGTCTCTTCTATTTGCTGAAATATCACTATATATATTAATGAATCAAATACACTGGGCCCTGCCCACCTCTTTCATTTTTGGAAATGCTTGCTTACGCACACCTACTTCTGTCTATGACATATGAATAACCAATTGAAAGCCCAGAATTTCCCCCACATGGTTTTCTCAGCCTCTACAATGTGAAAAGTTCCAAAGATTATTTCTTTGTCTCAGATCTCAGAAGGAAGAGATAAGTGAAAATTTGTCCAAAACACAACATTATTTTTTTACCAAAATACAGTTTAGTTAGTAAGCCCAATACATTACAGTGGAATTCTGTGATATTGATAAAGTTCTTTGTGTTATTTGGTTATTTTAAAATACATATATAAAACCTAAAATATTACATGCAAAGGTTGACAAGGCTTAGCAAATTATGGCAAGTGGGCAAATAAGTACAAAGCTTGTAAGTAGAAAAAATCATTGGTTTCTATATTTCGTTATTTACTGTTCTATATTTTAAGAAAAAACTGAAACTTAAGAACTTATTTATGTATTATAACCAAAATGTGACTGTATTTTACAAAATACAAATTCACTAGAACAAACTGAAGACAAGCCACTTTGTAAAGGCCAGTTGCATACTACTGGATACGGTAACATGAGTGCACATACACCTCGTCATTGCAACTTCTATAACGTTAGTTAGACACAACTGAAAGGTCAATAAAATAAAAATAATAAATATAGATAGATGTATAATATTATGATATTTAAGCTATTTAGACTAAACATCTGTGTTTTCGTGTTATAATTTGTAGTCATTCTAGAAAGAAAAAAGTGTAATTTATATCTATTTCCTAATTTTTTATGTTGGTTACAGGGTAGGTCAAATCATCCAAATCCATACATATATACAATTGTAAAAATATAAAGTTTTTTCTAAAAAAAAGTTTGATAATTATCTGAATGTTATAGAGAGGTTATAAAAACTTTTAATGTGAAATTTGACAATTTTCTGATGCATAAAAGTATGGAGTATTGTGTTCAGTCTTGGATTCTTTACCTTAGGAAGGATACCGAATTGTTTGAAAGGTTTCAGAGGAGGTCTATGAGGATGATACCTTGGATGGAAGGGTTGTCATACAAGAAAAAGGTAAGATCACAGAAACTGTTTTCTCTTGAAAAAGGGAGAACTAGAGGGGATCTAATTAAGCCATTCTTTTGCTATTGACTCGGTGGATTACACCAACAACATGACCCCAAAGTGACCATTGGAGTTTCCATATTATAACTTTTAATATATTTTGTGTATCTTCATGTCATTTTTCAAGCTTTTAGTAAACATCACTAGTCTTTTATAGACAAAAAATCAGAATTTTTTAATAAAGTATTTTTACTAAAAATTTGTTTGTAAATATATGGAGTCATAGTGTTGACTGCTCTGAGTGCAAAGTGATTTTCATGTTAAGATCAAAATTACTTTTGCTCCTCTGAAAGTTTCATTTGCATAATCTCAAACCTCCTAAACAAATATAAAATTACTTTTCAGAAAAACTTTATAATTTATCTGTTAATTTCTCTACCTTAATTCTATACAGGATAGGTCAATTTTACTTAATTTGTACGTAAAAGAAGATAAGAGTAGACAAGAGGTTTCAAAAGTATGAAGTAGTTGACAGGGCTACACTCGTAGATTTGCTAAACATATTGATATCTGCAAGGTTCTTATTTTATATTCTAGCTTTTAAATGTTTGAACTTCTAATTTTGTTAACCACTGTAGTTTTTCTATGGTAGTCATATTATAAATTGAGCAATAAGACAGAAAAATGTTCCTTATATAACACAAAAAAAAACAATTAAGAAATTAAAACTTAAACAGTATTAAAACTCGAGTTATAAACTACACTGTGATGCCAATTTTATTGACATATAATTATAATAAAGTTGTTGAATTAAATTTTGAAAACAACTCTCTAAAACATCCTGACATGTGCCCTTTGACCTGTCTGTTGATAAAGATTAAGAGACTTGATAGTGTTGATGCATCTTTTTTTTCACACTTAATGATGAGAATGGTAAGACTATGGTCCACAAATATAAATTTTACAAGGTAGGAGCCATCTTCAGTTAAGACAGCTTTATATTTCTAACAAAGTAAATGGTCTTTGAAACGGGTTGCCTTCAGATGTGGAGGATGCAGCAAATATAAGAGAATGATTGATAAATATGTGAATAATAAGAGCTGGCTTCAAGTTGACAACCAAGATAAACCAAGAGGTCCCTTGTTGTCCTTAAATTATGTTATATATATGTATATACATATACTTATAATATAATATACATATACATTAAAATAAGTTAAAATATATCAAATATATTAGATCACAGTAAATCTATATATTGCAAGAATGCCTCAAAATTAAAACTGCAAAAATATATACATTTTCTCTTACTTTTGAAGTTCTCGTATCTTCATTTGTATAGGCATTGAGCTCATGTTCAAAAGTTCCACTGCACGCGCTTGAAGTTCAGACTTTTTCCCAGACTTATTTCTTCCTGCAAATCCTAGGAGAACTTGTAGTTCAGAAAGTCTGAAGTTCAAGACCATTTTCTGAAATAATATAGAATACTTTAGGTTTATACAAATCTAATACATCACATTTGAAAACTTCAAAAATATAGTATTATGAGTATTCTACTTTAAGGATTTCAATTTTGCAAGTTATAATAAAAGCAAATATGTATATCATACTGTTACAGTAATGCTCCTTAACCAATTATACACCATATTTATCACCTGAAAAAGATCTTACCACATCTCTTTGTGGCTTTAACAGAAAATTAAAGAACAAGCATTGATCTAAAAGAGTTTAGGCATAAGTCAAAGACACTCTATATATATATAGCATTTATGTGATTTAGAAATTTGTTTAAAATGTTATACATACAATAATATATATATACTTTTTGTGTAGAAGTATGTGAAAACTTAGCAAAAAAATTTGTAAATACTATCATTAGAAATATTTTAATACACTGTGAAAACAAAAGAGACATAGCAAATACAGAGTTAAATCCTAATTAAGTAAGCCTTGTCAGGAATCCAGAAAAAAATGTCACCTCTCATATTGGCTCTGATGATAATGCAAAGTAGGATATGTCTTACTAAAAATTGCACTATTTCTTCCCACAAGAAAAAATACAACAACACTGTATATTTATGAATTTCTAGGTAATAAATCATTATAAGTGGCATTATTACAGGAAATTCTTAATGAAGCAGTCTTTCATAGTCCAGCTCAGTGTCTTGTATCTTGCATGTCTGATTACTTAATCTTCCAACCAACCACAAAAACTACCAATTAGTACTTATTATTCATTTATTTTCATAAGTATTTTTTTAAAGTTACAGGTACAATTACCCTGTAGAAAAGAAAATTTGCATTTTTATGGGTATTTAAACCAAGTAAATATGATAAGTCTAGTCAATAGTTATATCAGTGCTTGGATCTTTATGTACCCCAAGTGTTACTCTGAACTCTTTATATGGCATAAATCAATTGTTTTAGCTTTTTAATTTTCATCTGTGTATGAGCTATTATTTCTTTGACAATACAAATATATATTGAAATTTAATGATGCGGTTGTGAAATCCTCAATTCTGTTAATTCTTAGCAAGAGCAAAATAATAGTACATATATAGGAGGATATTTTCTAAATATTTTAAGAAAAACATTCATTACTGATGTAGTGAAAAACTACAAATACGGAGTTTGAAAAACTATTTTATTTTGTTCAGCCAGATAGTTTAAGTATAGCTCATTGAATATGGAAACAAATAGGCAAGGATTTATACCTGTTTTACATTAACACAAGTTACTGTGCTGTGTGTAGCATATGTAGGTAAATATATTACCTAAAATGAATATGGTATATTATATCATTATACTGAAACATGGTGGTCTGTAAGTGTACATTTGGTATATTATATTATTATACTGAAAGACGGTGGTCTGTAAGTTTACATTTGGTATATTATATTATTATACTGAAACATGGTGGTATGTAAGTTTACATTTGGTATATTATATTATTATACTGAAACATGGTGGTCTGTAAGTGTACATTTGGTATATTATATTATTATACTGAAACATGGTGGTCTGCAAGTTTACATTTGGTATATTATATCATTATACTGAAACATGATGGTCTGTAAGTGTACATTTGCATAAAACGAGTTACATCTCAGAACTGGAAAATATTGTAAACTACTGAGTACATCAATAATTTATTTCACTATTCTTTATACATAGGCTCAATCATTTTGACTAACTTCTAACCACTATGTAACAATGAAACTATACATACTATAACTCAGAATGTACTAAGCGCACCTTCATGAAATATGTCAAGCTTTTAGTAAACATTACAAGTCTACTGTACACAGAAAATAAGGTTTTTAATAAAGTATTTTTACTAGATATTTATTTGTGAATTTACAAAGACTTTACTGAGTGAGTCTAAGTAAAAGGTGATTTTCATGCTAAGACTAAAAACACTTTTTTCCTCTTAAAGTTTCATATTTCATTCATATAGCAGACAGAACATCTTAAATCAATATTTTATCTCTATTTTTTCTACCCTAACACTAACTGTATCAAAATCATCAACTTAAAATAAAATAACTACAAAATAAGACAATAACAATTACTTATCCTAACAGTTATCTAATCATTTTATATCTTCTTGCTTTTAATTTTATTACAGATAGGCAATCAACAACAGCAGGAAAACGTAGTGTAAACAGCCAATCAGGTTACAATTATATGATAAAGATAGCTCAAGCTGGTCTCATGAAATTTTATTTAATTTTTTCCATTTAGTTTTTATTTAATCTAACAAGTTTCTAATTTTTAAATTTTAGTTACTTTTGTAAAAAAAATATATGACAATAAATAAAAAATATACATTATAAACAATAAATTTTGAACTTACATTAGAGTTGAAGCCTATTTCAGTAACTTGTAGTTTAAAGAGCATGCTTCCTTAGTACTAGTTTTTATATTATGTTGGTTCTATACAAAATCATTAGTGTTCCTTGAAAATATGCATTTTAGAACACAAAAAAAATATATCAGGCAATACTGTGAGACAAAGATGTGTGGATTCTTCCATATGCTAGTCTGAAGGTCCAAGGGTCCATAAAAATGAGACACAGGAGATTGAGATAAATGACAAATTTGATGAGACAAAATGAGAAAAAGCCTGTGAGCACTGATATCCAGAGAAGAATACACCAACCAGAGGGGTTGGCAGACCCATCCAGTAAGGATAGGAGGCAATAGATCCCTGGACAAAGAAAGGTCTCAAGGTAGAAACATGAGAACCTAGAAAAAGATGTTTGTGCCAAATAAAAGTGCACAGTACAAACCAGACACAAAAGAAGATCCAGGTCTGTATGAGCATAGGGGTGAGACATAGAAGGGAGGGAGATAACAGAGAAAGTATGACCACCTTCCTGAGTAGCTGAAGTCTTGGGAAGAAAAGCCTAGTCTGGATAGAGAAGTAAATAAGAGAAATAAAGTGTGGGAAGCATCAATGGTATATACATTCAAATGACAGTGACCATAGGCGAGAAGTTGAAGGAAGTATGTCTTCAGAGAAAGATGACAAACAACAAGAACCAATAGCTCAAACAGGGTACATATGAGACTGTGTTTCACTACATAAAGAACCAATTCATGCATGGGAGCTTGACGATGGGGTCAATGAAAAAGGAAGGATTGGAACAAAGTGGAGAGGACAGGGGAAAAACAACTAGCAGTAATAGGAAAGGCAAATTGTAGCTGACAGAGTTGCCCAATAACCAGCTAAGGTGGAGACTGCCAATTCATAGTCAAACAAAATGTGAAAAAGGCCAAAAGGTGAGCCACAGTAGGATGGCCTGAAGGAATGAAATGGCAGATGGACCAGCATCAAAAAACCTGCCACTCATGTTCATGGATGGACAAAGTTGAAGGACAACAGGAATGGGATAAGAAGAAGGCTACATAACTGGAGAGTCCAGCCATGCATGTGATGGACTTGACAAATACCACACATAAAGATGAAGGGACAACATAACTGGGTGAAAAAAAAAGGGATATGTGAAGTTAGCAGAAGAAAGGGGGGAATGAGGGCAGAGGAACAGAGAGCTTGGATGCCAAATGACATAGCACAGGAAACCAGGATTGTGCAGGCCAAAGAGGCATTACCAACAGGACCTGACAAGGATTGTCACATATGAAGGCAAGGACATAAGAAAAAAGATGAAGAGGAGGATAAGCATACAGAAAATGATGAGACCAGTCCCAGCTGAGAGGAATGGCAAAGGCATTGATGAGTGGTGTGTCCAACTGATAGCAAACCCAATGAAACACCTGAAGTTGGAGAGAACACTCCATCGGTAGAATCCAGTCTAACCAAGAGCGGCAATCTGCTATCCAGTGGAAGACTATGGTACATGACATTGAGATCTACTCAATGGGAATAAGTTCAAAGTTAACACTTTCCTTACCAACTGCAGAAAGAGGATAGGATACAATAGTCACGTCACAGAGAGAGAAGTATGGTGAGTGCACACCTCAACTCAACTGAACAGGTGATATACACATGTGTATAGAGTGTGCTCACTTCAGCTGTACGAACTAAGGCCACAGGAGGAAAGCACAAGTGAAATGTTATAAGTATAGCTATGTGAGAGTAATCTACCTTACACTAACAATGTTACCACTGCCCCACTTCCCACCAATTGGCACCCCTTGTTCTAGCCCCAACAGTTAGGTCCCATTCAGTGAGGATTCTCTATGGTACACCACCCAAGTGACTAGGAACTAATAAGTGGCAAGGGTCTCCTGTGTTCCACTCAAAGGGAAAAGAGGCAAAGAATTTGTGGTGGGGAGAGGAAATACCCGGATCCTCACTGGTCCAAGCTGGAGAGGTCTGCAGCAGACTGTAGTCATACATGCACATAAATGGTCTTGCAGAATACCCCATCTCACAGTGGGCACATATAGAGCCAAGGCAGATTGTACAGAATTTTGGGAAATATGTATACCCCTGGTCACACAAGGACCAATGGAGGAGGCACATATGTGTGTGACCCAAAGGGATAAGCAGTTCCAGTGAATACATGGTCCCCAAAAGTGAAAAACCTCTCACACAGTAAGATACATACAAATCCTGGTGACTAGTAGTTCCTATAGCTTGCAGGCAGATGTGAGAATCTGCATAATCAAATGCATTATAGTATGATATCAAATCTATCTCTGGCCTGTCTAAATTAAAAACAAAAACATTTCTCCCTCCATATGAAGACCTTTAATAATGTACTACACAAAGAAAATAATGGTACATTAAGATTAAAACTTCCACAACAAATAATAAAGCAATCCTTTACAAGTAAAAGCATTAACATTCATAAACATAGGCACTATGATCATTAAATGTGTAAAACAAAGTACTATCAAAATTAGGATAAACAAAAAAATCTTCTTTACTAACTTACTAAACTGCCCAATCACCAAATCTTTTTGTGATTTTCTTTTCTATGGTTTAAAGTATGAATAC